GAGGCCTGTTCTGGACTTGTTTTCTTTTGTTCCTCCTAGGGCTGCTTCGTAAAAGTGACAACTGTTATTCAGTCAGAAATGGGTGTTGTAGCAGGCATTTCCTTTGGGATTGCTTGTTTCCAGGTGAGTCCTTAGACTGAAATGGCTTTCGCCTACTTTTTTTCTTCCTGTCCACAATGGAGTTTAGTTTTTAAAATGATGTTTTATTCATGCTCTTTTTTTGTCACTGTCATTTCTCAATGATTTCTCCTCCTCCCTTATCCTTTTTATAACAAGTACAGTAATGTGAAAGGAAAAAAACCTTAACACATCACCACAGTGTATGCCTCATTTTGGGCATGGAGTGCCGAGAGGCACTAGGGGGCGCCACAGTGCACAGAGTGCTGGGGCCTGCAGTCAGGAAGACCTGAGTTCAAATTTGGCCTCAGACACTTAAGTTGCCATGTTGACCCTGGGCAAGTCCTTTCACTTTGATTTGCCTCAGTTTCCTCATTTGTCAAAATGGGAGTAATGATAGCACCTGACTCCAAGAGTTTGTGACGATCAAATGGGATAAGAATTGTAAAGAGCTTAGCACAGTGTCTCACACATAGTAAGCACTGTATAAATGCTTACCCAGAACCCCTTCCTCTCAGTCTTTTGGAATCATGACTGGTCATGACTTTGATTTGAGTTCTGAAATCTTTTATGTTGTTTTCCTTTATTGTATAAATTATCTTTCTGGCTCTTCTGACTTCATTCTGTATCAGTTAATGCACATCTTCCCAAGTTTCTTGTAATTCTTCACAGTTGTCTTTCTTATGGTGCAATAATATTCCACATATTCTTATACCACAGTTGTTCAATCATCCTCCAGTCGATGGGCACTCTCTTGCCTTCCATTTCTAGATTGCTCCATGAAGATTAGTTGTATATTTGGGATCTTCCCTTCTTGATTTGACCTCCTTGAGGCCTTAATGGCATTTATAGTAAGCTGGAATACTTCCACTGGTAAGCCTATAGATTATGATTCAAGGTACGAGCAGAGGTAGGCCTTCCTTTCCCTCAAAGGTGGCATATTCTCTTCTTGACACACATGATGATCAGACACAGCTTTTCAGGTCAGGTTTGTTTTGTGGATTAAGTGCTTAATGCAGCTGGAGCCATTTGGTTTGGGGTTCTGATTTGTGAGTTTTGAAAAGAAGAAAAAAAAAAGCAAATCTATATTTCCTCCCCTCCCCCATTGCAGCCTTTAGATGTCTTTGAGTCTTATCTTTCTGTTTTCCCATCTGGGCAGCATACGTGTCATGCTGAAAGCCTAGAGGAAATAGCTGGCTGTTCTCTGAATTCCTCTTCCATTTTCACTCATTCTTTTCCCATGGTTATTCTTTAAAAAGCAACAGACCAGCCCTTTCTTCTCCCCCCTAGATTGGAACCACCTTTACCTGCACACATCTTTTGAGAGCAGTTTGTGGTGGAAAGAGCTGGTGCCTCTTGGTTAGGGCAACCTTCCAGCATCACACAAAACCTGGGTTGCCCAAGAACCTTGGCTTTAGTCTCTCCCTGTAATCAGACACGATTCCTGAACATAATTAGGATTCTCTTTCATGAACTCAGATACTTACAGTGTATCCACAAGTCCAAATCCAGGATTTAAGATACTAATTATCCGAAAACATGCTTAAAATGCCTTCCTTCATTGGCGGAGCTATCGCTGTCACCCCGCTAGGGGCTTGATTATATAGAGATATAAAGAAGGAATGATTTTCTCAGCCCAGGGTGTTCTCGGAGTGGGGTCTCCTTCACGCAACATGGAGAGAGCTTCTCAGGTCTCAGCGACTGACACGGATCACTAGCAGTGCCTGCTGGTAGGGTGACTTGTACTAGGGTTACAAACTAGCAAGTTTCTGAGCTAGGGTTGGAAGCCAAGGCTTCTGGCTCTGCTTTGATCATCTTGCAGCCTCCATCCTGGCCCTGGGGGGGTGATGTGTGATTCAACTTCAAGAAAACTTGGCATGTGGCTCTTGTCCTTGTTCCTTGACGCTATTCCCCAGGGAGTTGTTGTCTTTGGTCTACACTAACCAGTACTCAAGTGCTGTAACCCTTTTCTCATTATTTGCTCAGGGCTAGGGTCTTAATTTTTTGATCTACGGATTTTGCTTTTTCTTGTTATCTTTTTTTTTTCCCCCAAACCCATTGCTCTTCCTTCCCAATGTTTTCCCGTCCCTGCCCATGCCTCTGCTAACTTCCTTGTGATCAAGAAGGAAATTCAAGAAAAACAAGCCTACACATTGGCCCATCTGCCAACATAAGCTTTGTTCCTCACCGAGAGTCCACCACCTCGCTACCAAGAGATAGGAGGTGTGCAGAAATCGACTTTCCGGGTAGTCCTGCATCAAGCAGAGCTCTGCTGTTTTTGACGTCATTGTGCACGTTGTGCTCCTGGCTCTGCGTAGTCTATTTGGCATCAGTTCCTACAAGTCTTTCCAGGGTTCTCTGGATTCCTCAAGTCATGGTTTCTTACAGTGTAATAATATTTGATTGCAGTCATGTACAGGTACGTTGTGGTGGGTAGAGGGCTGGGCCAGGAGACAGAAAGACCTGAGTTCAAATCCAGCCTCAGACATGTATTAGCTATGTGACCGTTGGCAAGTCACTTATCCTTTGACTGGCTCATTTTCCTTATCTGTAAAATGGGCATAATAGTAGCTCGCACCTATCTCCTAGGGTTGTTGTGAGGATCAAATGAGATCATATTTGTGAAATGCTTTGTAAACCTAAAGCACTAGATACATGCTACCCCTTATCATCATAATCCTTATTAATAATAATACATTGGTATTCTATACTATAGTTGGTTCAGAGAGTTTTCTTTTAATATAACAGGTGTTCTTTTCCACAGTATAAAAGCCAAGGTAGCTGTATGCCAGCTGGCCGCTGCTCCTCGGCTTTGTATTTTGCTCTGCCCTCCCTTCTCAAGTCATCCAAAGTCTCCTTGTGACTTCCTGTGCCTCACTGTCCTCACAGGTCCTCAGTAGTGTGGCTCTGTCTACGTTTTTAATGCCTTCTCTTGCATTCACATGATTGTTCTCAGTTCTTCTTCCTTTCTGAAAAATCAGAAAATTGAGCAGATTTGTATCTTGACCTCAAAATCTTTTCTGGAAAGCTCCCACGGAACTGAACTTTGCTTTATCAACAAGAAAAACAGTTAAGCAGCTCCCCCCCCTCCCCCTATAGAGTGAGTGCCCTTATCTGTCTCTGTTTACAATAGCCAGCCCAGCATTCTGCTGAGAGGATGGAAATAAATGACATTCTCTTTTCTCCAGGACTTGTACTGATGATTACATTGGCTCAGAATTCAGCCTCTTCTTACTAATTTTTCCTTTAACCTTTTTCATTATTCCATAAACTGTTCTCCTGATTGTGCTTATTTCATTCATTTGTCTAGATCTTGTCATATTTTTCTGAATTCCTCACCTTCATCATTTCTTACCACACAATTACATTCCCTGATACATTTTGCCATTCCCTAATCAATGGGTGCCCACTTTTATTCCAGTTCTTTGGTTCCATAGAAAGTCAACTAGACTTTTCTTGTCTTTGGTCCTTTGGTCTGGAACACTTAGTCTCTAGAGATGTATATTTGTTCTGAGTTCTTGACTTTGGGTCCTGGGTCTTTCTGACTTCTCAGAGTGAGAAAAGAGGCACCATTGACCTCTCTTTTCTGGAACCTTCTCTGACTTGGGAGGGTTTCTCTTTGAATGATTGTTGCCAGGGACAGGGAAATTGAGAAACTTCCACCTGCAGGATTGGGTTTTAGTGATTCAATCTCATCTCTCACAGATTAGTGAGGCCTTACCCAGATTATTCAACAGAACTAAACACCCACAGGTCAGAACCAGCCACAGGAAATGAGGAATTGTAAAAGGAATGTGTGGCCACCTCAGATGCCTCTTGGACTCCTGGAACTCCTTGTTTTCCTTTGTCTGATTCCCTTCGTGCTCTCTTTCCAGTTGTTTGGTATATTTTTGGCCTGCTGTCTCTCTCGTTCCATCACGAATAACCAATATGAGATCGTGTAAACTGGTGGCTGACAGCTCCAGATCTCTCCGACCAAGGTATGTCTCTTCAGTCCTGGTAGCTGTTCCAGTGTCTTTGCATGCACTCATCGCTGTAAGTGTTATGGATTGTGTGAGGCCCAGCCAGGGAGCCCGGCCCACTCCTGGGCTATTATGGGGCCTTGGGTCAGCCTGCCAGCCAACCTGCCAGTGGAGCTTGTTGAAGCTCTGCCCAGATAAGTTGTGACTTTAAATCAACCAACTTGAATATCCTGGGAGGTTTGTAAAGACAGTCTTACCTCTTTAGAGTCTTGCCTTATGGGTGCATGCTGCGCATGGTTAGACCTGTCCATTTATGCTTGCACTCGCATAGTTGGCCTTTTGTTTCTACCTGATGGTCTTGGTGTAGAGAACTGAAAGAAACAAAGCCTTTAATTAAATGAAGAAAATGGTCCTGCTGTTATGTCCTTGGCTGAAGGGAACCGACTCTGGGCCTGCCCACTCAGAGGGTCTTGAGGCTCTGAGGTGCACTGGTCCTCCCCTGGCCCTGTGCTGATTCCTGTTGTCCCCAGCCTAGCTCTGCGGCTTTGCTGGGATACTAGTCAGTGCTGTGCATTTTTCCTGTGGCCCATTGTACTAAACTGAATAATTAGTTGGAGAAATGGTTGAGGGGCTTTTTTGCTGGACCAGGAGGACAGCCACCACCTCCACTGTAGGATTTTTGGAACTGAAAAGGCCGTCTTGTCCAAGCTCCTCATTTCCAGAGGAGGAATCTTAGGCACAGAGAGGCTCCCGGGTACTGCCTGAGGTTCTGTAAGCGGCTGATGGAGGTTACAATCCCAGCTCTGAAAATGCTACCTCTTGGCCCCCCTGAGCTTGGAAGGCAGAGATTCTTCCTTCCAACCAGAATCTTTCTCTCTGCCTGCTCCAGAGTACCAACAAAAATGTCCTTGTAGTAACTGGTCCAAGCTTCATTTTCCTCTAGGTGTGTCCCAAGACGGTTTCCCCTATGGGGGCCCACTGGGGTCTGTATTTCTCTTCTTACAAGTACTTGGGTGTGTGGGCCTGGAAAAATGCCGGCTGCAGCCCCTCGTGCCCAAATATATGGAAGGTAAACTGCCAAGCCAGTAGAGCCTGGGTTGGGGGGGGGTCACAGTCTTCACAAGCCTGGGCCTCCTCATGGCTTTGGCAGAGGTTCCAGGGTTATTGCTTGTGAGGCTCCGTAACCCCCAGCCTTTCCCCCAAAGGTGCCTCTGAGGGCAGCAGAGGAGCTGGGCCACAGCCACGGCTGAGAGAAGATGCTAAGTAATGAGCATGGTTGCTATTGGCTGCTACAGCCAGAGATCCCTCCTGACTCCCGGCACCCCCTCAGCCCAGCTGCTTAGTGGTCTTTGTGGGCCAGCCTGGGTCCCAGGAGCCTCTCCAGGGTTTGAACTTCCCCAAATCCCCTAAGACCTTTTGGTTGTCTGTCTTAGCCTTTGGAGTCATTGTAAGTCACTTGCTGCCGGCCTTGGTGATTGGGAGCATGAGGGGTGGGGGCTGGAGAGGTGTCTGGTTTTGTTCCTTCCGTTTTCTGCTCACCAAGGATATCTTTTATTCTTACCCATTGTGGCTTTATGTTGCGGCTGTCCCCGATGGCTGTGTGTAATGGACCTTTACTGAACTTTCCTGTTTAGATTTACATTGGTTCGTTGCTTGTGTTTTTGCTTCTCTGGCCTTTATGTGTTTATATCTGCCAGTGTGGTCTCAGATCATAAGCCTCCAGGAGGCAGGGACTGTGGATGGGCAGCCCGTTGGGTGTGGCATGACTCATTAGGTGCTTAATAAAACTTTTTGATGATCAGACCAGATATAGAAAGCCACCACTGTCAAATTCATTCCATCCAGCACTTATTAAGCACCTACTATGTGCTAGATATGGTGCCAGGCACCAGGGAGACAGACCAAAGTGAAGAAGGCAGGTCCTCTAGGACCTTCCATCTCCCTTGGGTGGGTGAGGGGGACAGAGAGGAATACTGCCTGCAAACAGATAGGTGATACACGTGCTCATTGGAGCACGACAAGGGAGAGACCACTGACAACTAATGAAGGGGATCAGGAAAGACTTCCCATAGGACTGAGCCTGGGGGGAAGCCAGGAGGGAGTGTGTTGTGTGCATGGGGCACAGCCTGTTCAAAGGCATGGAGGCTGGAGATGGAATACCAAGCCTAGAGACCCTCTGGGAGGTCAGTTGGACTGGAATGGAGAGGGTGTAAAGGGCTGGAGGTGGGAGGCGAGTAACATTGACTTCTTGTTCTTTTCTTTTCATTAGCTTTAGGACATTATTCTCAGCTCCCTTCCTTGGAAAATCCTTCATGACCTTCAATATGCAAAGTGCTGAAAGTTATATGAACAGACTGATCCCATCAAGACCTGGCAGTTATGAGTTCTTCATCATTCGCCTCCCCCAACTCAGTTTTTCCAGGCTGGGGGAACATTAAAAGTCATGTTAAGCTAACACAGTGTGTATTGTGGATAGCAGCTGTATGCCTTCGGGCGTGTGGCCTGCCTTTCTGTGTCTCTTTCCCATAGGCCGGGCTTTGCGGTCCTGTTGTCACTTGGTGTGACTGACCTCGAGGTCTGCTGAATATATGAGCCTCCTCCTCTTTGGTGCCATACGGTCTTCTGTAGCTTGGGAAGGTGAGCCTTGTGCCCAGCAGAGCTTCTCTTGTTTGTGCGATTTGCAGCAGGCAGCTGGCTGGGCACAGAGCTCCTGGGCTTGGCCCGGGGCCCGGGGCATGGCCCGGGCCTGTCTGCATGTGGACACCTCCTTCTCTTAGCTGCCAAGTGGTGCTTCTGGATCTCTGACCCCGCCGACTCACACTAAAGACACTCATGTTCTGTGCTTGACCAGGGCACGGCGGGCTGCCCGTTCTCTTTGCTTTCTCTTCTAAACCCAGGTGTTATATCTGTTTTGTAGGTTTTCTCTCCCTTTTTGTTCTTAGAAAGGCCTTTCTTCGTTCTGAATGATGCTGTAGTGATTTGTTTTTCCCTGAGGGACTTGTGGGATAGTGGTTGTTCCCAGTAGCCTTAGCTGCTAGTATTTCCCAACCAGGTTGGCATGACTTAATTGTCAGTATTATGTGCTCCTTTGACTTGTATTCTTATGTGTGTTGATTTGTGTTTTGGGCCAATAAATAGAAATTCTCCTATCTTAATATCCAATAAATGGTTGACTCTTGTCCGCAAAAATATTAGCTGTGGTTGGATATGTTTTTTATCGAAACTTTTAGGAAATCTGCCAGGGGATCTGGTTGCTTTTCACTCATGTGCTCCTCGTCTCTATCTCTTTCTATGTTTCTGTCTCGCCCTTTCCCTCCCTTTCTCTGTCTCTCTCCTTCCTTCCTTCTCTGTCTTTGTCTGTCTCTCACTCCCTCTCTGTCTCTGTCTCTTCCTCCCTCTCTGTCTTTCTCCTCTCTTCTCACTCTTTCTCTCTGTCTCTCCCTCTCTCTCTGTCTGTCTCCCTCTGTCTCTGTCTCTCCTTCCCTCTCTGTCTCTGTCTCTCCCTCCCTCTCTGTCTTTGTCTGTCTCTCACTCCCTCTCTGTCTCTGTCTTTTCCTCCCTCTCTGTCTTTCTCTCTCCTTCTCTGTCTGTCTCACTCTTTCTCTCTGTCTCTCCCTCCCTCTCTGTCTTTGTCTGTCTCTCACTTCCTCTCTATCTCTGTCTCCCCCCGTCTCTGTCTCTACCTCCCTGTATGTCTCTTCCTCTCCCTCTGTCTCTCACTTCCTCTCTGTCTCTGTCTCTCCCTCCCTTTCTCTCTTTCTCTGTCTCTCCCTCCTTCTCTGTCTGTCTCTCCCTCCCTCTTTGTCTCACCCTCTCCCTCCTTGTCTCTGTCTTTCTCTCTACCTCTATCTCTCCTTCCCTCTCTGTCTCTCCCTCTCTCTGTCTTTGTCTCTCCCTCCTCTGACTCTGTTTGTCTCCCCTCCCTCCCGTCTCTGTCTGTCTCTGTCTCTCCCTTTCTGTCTCTATCTCTCCCTCTCTCTGTCTCTCCCTCCCTATCTGTCTCTGTCCCTCCTCTGTCTCCCCTCCTCTGTCTCTCCCTCCTTCTCTCTCTCTGTCTCTTCTTCCTTCTCTATCTCTTCCTGTCCCTCCCTCTCTGTCTCTCCCTCTCGCTCTGTTTTTGTGTCTCTCTTTTTGTCTCTCTCTTCCTCTCTGATTCTGTGTCCACTGTCTCTACCTTTTGTTTATATATCAGTCATTTCAGGATTTCTACATCTTCTCCCCTTCTCCAATCCTATAATGATCCTTCCTTTGTAACAAAGAAGAAAGTTTGGAACAGCCCCTCACCCCCTCATCTGTTCTGCTCGGCAGTGTTTGGGCTGTTTCATACCCATGGTCCTCCATCTCTTGGCCAGGAGGAGGGAGAAAAATTTTTTCATCTATTCACAACTCATTATCTTAAAGAAACCCAAACCCTTCCTTTTAATGTAGCCAGATTTAATAGTGTGAAATAATGACTTTAATTACAATTCTTTCAGAGAAGTTAAGATCTCCCCTTAGATGGTTTTCTGTCAGCTGTCCCAGCACTTTACCCCCTGGGTGGGTGGATCTATATAAATGCTACCTATTATTCTTTATTAAGCCCCTAGTATGTGCCAGGCACTGTGCTAAGCACTCTACAAATATGACCTCATCTGATCCTCACAACAATCCAGGGAGGTAGGTGCTTTTATTATCCCCATTTTACAGTTGAAGAAACTGAGGCAGAAAGAGTTGAAGTGACTTGCCCAGAATCACACAGCTACTAAGTGTCTGAGGCTGGCTTTGAGCTTTAGTCTTTCTGATCCCGGGCCCGGTGCTCTATCTGCTATGCTCCCAAGCTGCCTAATGTCTTCATGGAACAATTTATAAACTTAGAAGTGAATGCAAATCGATTATTCAGTAGTTTTCAATCTGAAATGGGCACAGGGGAGGGCTTCTTCATTGCTTACTCTGGGATTTCTTTGTACATCACTGTTGGAGATACTAACCAGTCTTAGGGAGATAGGTTACCCTTGGAACAATTCAGTTCCATCCTTTTTGTGTGTGTGTGTGTAAGCTGAGGCCATCAGTTATTCATGTAGTGAGTGGAGAACTACTGATTTTTTAGTATTACCTTTGAATTGTAGATAAGGGTCAGATTTTAGGCTTGGCTAGGAGTTAAGAGAGCAGGGTACTAGGCTCAGCTTGGCTACTCACTAGATCTGGAATCTTGGGAAAGATTCTTCCCCTCCCTGGGCCTCAGTTTCCTCCTTTGTAAAAAGGGGTTGCACTAGGCGATCTCTAGTGTCTCTGTCAGCTCTTACCTATGATTTCCATGCTAAGCTCTGATTTCTAAGTAACTGCAGAAAGGTCTATAGAGTGTTGTTCTTGGCTAGCACACCCACTGGGCAGGCTGAGACAACTTTGCTGCGCTCGGAATTCTTGCATTGCTTCATGTTTGGAGTCTCTGATTACAGTGCCTTATTTTCCTGGTTCATTTCAGTGGAAGGCCCTTTGGGAACCAGTCACTGGTTTGCCCTTTGCTTGGGAGGCACAGGTTAACGTGTTTGTGTACAAGCCGGTTCAGAAACCTTGCCAGTTTGCAGAGGAGAGAGTGGCCTAGTTGGATAAGACAGTTATAAAGTGGAAGGAGGAAAAAGCTATTCATTTCTCTCTGTGATTTATAACGAAAAGACCTCATTAGAAAGTGATGGGTTAATGAACACGTCCATTAAATACAACCAGTTTGCCTGGGATGCTGGAGCAGGTGGAGCTTTTGAAGACCTCTATCTCCAGTCTTGGTGGTTTTCTGTAGAGGCCGAAAGATCTTCCTGAAACAAGAAAGTCCTTTTCAGCAGTGTTATAAATACCAGGATGTTTCACTCTTCCTGCCAGTAGCATGCCTAAAACTCTGAGAGCTGATATTTTAGCCTGTGGCCATCTCAAATCGCAGTTTTCTGGGTGACGTGGCAAAATAATGATTTTTAAGATTTGTTTTACTCATGCCTTCTTGCTTTTACAACACAGTCATCTCTGGATAGATCCCATAAAATCAGTAGGCCTTTCAGTTAGTTAAACAAAATCAGCTGATAAGTTCTGTACCCATATTTGCCTTCATTTCCAAAAAAAGAAGGGCAGTATGGTACCTCATCTCTTTCTCCGTGGCCAAGATGGGGCACTATAGTTACACATCCTTTGCCTTCTCCACCTAGCTTTGGAAATGAGAAAACATAAAGTAGCTAAGATATCAGAAGATATTAATTATATAATGTACAATAGGAAAATAATCTGTTTTAACTCAGCCCTGATTGTTAGTGAGGGGAGAAGTCATTATTATCTATCCCTATGATAATAGCAATAGCATTACAGACATTTCATTTTATCCTCATAATCCTGGGAGGTAGGTGCTATTACCATCCTCATTTTATAGATGAGGGAACTCAGACAGAGGTTAAGTGACTCAACCAGGGTCACACCACTATTAAGGATGTAAGGCTGGATTTGAACTCAGGACTTCCTGACTCTAAGTTTGGTGCTCTATTCAATGTGCCACCTAGTTACTCCTATTTCTCAGAGCAGGAGTTCTTGAACTTTTTGGTCTCAATTTCCCTTTACACTTTTTTTTTGGAGGCGAACAGGTTAAGTGACTTGCCCAGGGTGATACAGCTAGTCTGAGGCTGGATTTGAACTCTGGTCCTCCTGATTCCAGGGCTGGTGCTCTATGCGCCTGCTAGCTGCTCACATCTTTACACTTTTAAAAATTATTGAGGTACACCTGTCTCCCAAAGAGCTTTTGTTTATGTGGGTCATATCTATTCATACTTACTACGTTAAACATTAGAATGCCTTAGTATGGTTATGAGAATCGTTTTGCCCTTGTAGACTCTCAGAAAGGGGGACCCCCAGAGAGCCCTTTAAGAACTGTTGCTGTCAGATTTAGTATGGCTGAAGAGGCTTGTGAGAGCTCAGTACATGCTAGTGAAATGAATGAATGAGTGAGCAAGTGACTAATTTTATGACTCTTTAATGACATGGGCAGCAGGCCATGGGCCTAAAGTTCTCTGACCCTGGAAGCTAGCATTTATATACCCCCCCCCCCCCCACACACACTTTTGTCCTTATGGCTGTACTGAAATCTCTCCAAAGAGCTCCTCCTGACCAAATCTCTCTTCTTTGTTCCGGCCCTACTGGAGTCACCTCAGCTGCCTTGGATGCCCCTGATGCCATCTCCTTGGCATCCTCTCCTTGATCTCTGTTGTATCGGTGTTACCCTGTTGGTGCCGAATCTTCTCCCTTGACCTTGTCTTTCTGGCACCCGACCCCTGCGATGGTGCTTCTTCCACTGGCCCTGTCACCGTGTCTGGCCTCCAGAGTTTCAGCTGCCTCCTGTTCTCACTGTCTGGGAGCTCATCTGCTACCCAGCTGGGGACAACAATGATAATGACAACTCCCAAATCTCCTCTTAGCCAGAAACCTGACTCTTCCTGACAATGGAGTGTCCACAGTGGTGTCAGCATCAAATAGAAACAGCCTGCTGGCCTCATTGACTTAGAACACCACAAACTCATGTCAGCTCGGATGGATTTTTATTTCTTTTCTTTTTTTCAACATTTCCCCATGGCATTTGAATGTGTTTTGGGCCCACTCAGGAGAAGCCTGTGGACCTTGAGGTCAGCTTTGGTGTAGGAGATTTGGAATCAAGGAAAGCCTGGGTTCTAAACCCACCAGCTCTGTGACCTTGGGCAAGTCTATACAGGAACCTAAATCGGGATCTGGGAGGGACTTTCAGAGGCCATCTGGTCCAACCCCCCCCCCCCCCATTTTACAGGAGAGCAGCTTGAGGGCCAGAAAGTTTAGGTGACTAGCCCATGGTTACCCAGGCAGTAATGATAACTTTTAGGTAACATGTTAAGGTTTAGAAAGTGCCTTACACATGTAATCTCATTTGATCTATACAATAACTCCCATTTTACAGATGAGGCAACAGAGGCTCACAGAGGTTAAGTAACTTCTCCATGGTCATGCAAGTAGTGACAGAGACTGGATTTGACTCAGGATCCAATCCTCCTTTCCAGTGGACCACACTGCCTCTGAGTCTCAGTTTCCTCACTTATAAAATGGGGGTAAGCATGCTCATAGTACCTACTTCACAGGGTTGGTGTGAAGATCCAGTGTGATAGTCTGGAAAGTTGTGGAAACGATGGCCACTTTTGTTATTAATGTCATTATTACC